CACCGCTTCGAACACCTCAACGAGCCATAAGCCTCCCTATGACAGCGCGTCTGTTGTCTCATAGAAATGAGCGTAGGAAGAATCCTACGCTCACATAACCTGGCACCTAGCTCAGGGTGATTTGATTGCACCTACCTAATTCAATGAGCTTCTCAAGACATCTCCACACTGCCTTGGATACTGATACGATACTGAAAATTAATTCAGCCCGGATATGCGACATGATCAATATCTCGGGTATCTCGGTCAGAAACACGCTCGGAATTCGAAATATTTGATTCTTGGCCAAATCACCCTCGCACCAGTGCTCGCAAAGGTCTTATACAAATCAGTGTGTATCATAATGATCAGGTTATACATTGATTCGGTTGCTTCTTCTATTGCTCAGCAACTACGTAAAATTTTTCTGAAGCTGCATCTCCTTACCATGTCATATTCCGAGAAGATGATTCGAATATCCTGCGCTATATCATTTCAACGCCATTCCATCTCAATTTCTGAATAGAAGTCTTCGCTGCCATCTCAATGGCAAGGTTCATCTCAAAATCACCTTCATTGCTGCAGTTGAGCACGTCTTCATTACCTACGTGTTGCAGACGTATGCGAATCTCTATAATTATTCTTGGCTCCACGGGCTATTCTTCTCGCCCATACTACTGCTCCATATGTCAGGACGAGCGGCACCACCATTATCATAAAAATAATATCAACATAACAGACGGGGAGCAGTTTCATGTCCTGAAAGAGATTTTGAAAGATGAATAGAATGTTTTAAAATATACTAACCTTCTGTAATCGGAAATGTCACTTTCAAAAACAATTAATTAAAAATACGTAAAATTTATTCAACTCTTGACACAAATGTAATTGATTTAAAATTAAATGATTTAGTGATAATTTTCATTAAAGTGTAAAAAGTTGAAGAAAAATATCGAAAAATTATTAAAAATGTAGATTTTACTTGAAATTTTATGATAATTTATTCTATTATCCCAATTTAAAATTAAATATTAAGAATTAACTGAATTAAATTTTTAAATATAGTAAACAAAATATTCGTTACACATAAAATATTCATTAAATTGAAATAAATGTAAATATGCAATAATATAAATAATTTATTTATGAATAGTTTATGCGATGGCTATATTGAAATGGGATGTTTGTATTTGGAACTAAATAAATTTGAATGCTAGAATTAAACAAATTATATTTGACCTCTGTAAGAGGGAGGTGGATTTGTTTCAAATATAATATAGCTCATCATTCAGGGTATATGGTATATTTTAAAATTTTATATGCCTATCATACAATTTTTCTGCTGCTAAGGAAACCTATTATCTTTTACTAACCCTAATACCTTATTACGCCAATAAAGTAAAATTTACATTATTTTGGAATCATGTGGTATTAGTCAATTTATCTTATGTATACTGAGAATTTTCTTATACTTTCAATTATGAAAAATTCATAATTTCATCGTAACATACATTATTTATTTTTTCGGTATATAGAATATATTTAAATAAATATGTATGAATCTTTGAATCGCTTATGCATGCAGTCAAAATAATTAATAACGATTCAGTAACTTTGAATATTTTAATAATATCAATTTAGTGAGAAAAATTGGTAGTATACATTACCTTTTTATGAGCTGTAAATTATAATTATGTAAAATATGAATTTTAATGAGTTGCTATTTTTAAAATTATAAACACTTGTGTTACACTTACCTGCCCACACAAAAATTCAGATTAAAAGTATTTTTTTTTTTTTGTTTTGATATTTTATGGACATTTCTGTATAATTTTAATTTAATATTTTGCTATTATTTATTTGATATATATTTATATATATATATATATATAGAATACATATAGTTACATATTTAAGTTCATTGCTCATTTAAAAACTTTTAATTTATAAAAGTGTGTAATCTAATTTCACTTAAAAATACAAAAATGAAAGGAAAAAAAAAATTTGAGAGATTTGGAAATTTCAAAGGAAATACGAAAAAGAAAAAATAAGTTTATAAATTTTCACTATAACGCGGACGGTAGATAATTGAACACGTTTTTCTTTAAAAACGAACTATTTTTGAATTTTTGAATTATATTTAATTATTTTAGTTATCCCGATATAATATAACATCCACGCATAAGTGTTTTTGCAAACCAAAAAATCTGATGTGGTCAGCACATAACCGACCGTAATATGTATTGTCTAGTTAAGTGAAAATGTTACAGAATATTATAAAAATGTCTGCTTAATGCTTCTTTCCAATTTTTGAGGACATTAGTCAGCTTATAGTTAATATACCTAGAAAAGTGTAAATTTGACTCTTAGTAGATTTTCACTTTGTACTACCCGAATTCTTTAAAATGCTCGCCAGTTAGTTTCGGTAATTATGCTAACAATTTGATATATGTATATCAAATTATATGCAGATATATATCATAATTTGATATATATCAAATTATGATATATATGAACATTATATGCAGGTCGCGTTCTGTACGTATACCGAAGACATATATGACAAAATCAGAGTGCACGTTCAATTATTACTTGTAATTATAATGAAAAGAAGCAGAGATTCTTTGTACCTTTTAATTATTTATTTGCTTCTACATTTTAGATTAAAGATATTCTCAAATGCTGGGGAGAATATTCAGTGTAACAAAGGTCAAATATAAAAATTTTTATGAATAAAATAAAGTTCAAATTAAGAACTTGATTAAAACATTTTATGTGGAGACTTAGACAGATAATAAGTATACATATTGGACTATTGATTAACGGAAGACATCCTGTGTATTATGTTATTAAACTCAACTTAGACAATACAGTGTTTATATCAAATTTTATTTGAGTAAGCTTCAATTGTAAAGGAGAACCGATATCGTACATTTTGTATAATAAATATATTCAGCACATTGAATATGTTTTCTCATATTGTAAATATTTTGGTTCAGATCTTTTATATTTTGATCTACATTCTAAAATATTTAAAGTTCCTAAAATTGCATAAGTATTCTGTATTAGTCGAATTAGACCGACAATAATTTCTTATTTATTTGTAAAACTGAAAATTTTATATATAAAATTTTAATAAATATTTTTAATTAGAAATAAACTTTTTAAATGTCATTTTTATGCAGAAATAAATTATTATAATGGCTATTTAAGTTTTAAATAAAATTTTTGATCTTTTGCAAATAAATTCTATAATAAAATTAACGAAAAGAAAAATCATGCAACGTTAATTACATTGTTAAGAGTTTTTAAATAGATTACTCATAAATTTATTTAAGATAAAATAATTTAACTATATATTTATATATAGTGAATATTATTGTAATAATTAGATATTTGCGGACTTAAAGGTTAAAAGTGAAAATGAATTTTTCAAGGTTTCTTCTATAATTAACTGTCGTAATTAAGTAAATCTTTGTCAATATACTATTAATTTTCTTAAGTATCAATATACCTTCTCTCCACAGTTAAAATCAAAATTTTAATAGGATTCTATTAAGACATAATCCCGGCGGATTGGGCTACGAAATATCCGCAGTAAGGTATGCTTGTGGTAAGAGTTCACTAAAATCCAAATGAAAATCCAGGCGCGACGGACTCACAATGAGCGGCTCTCTGGTCTGCGACTGATCCCTGAGGGGCAGCAGAAATTATATGTGCTAACTTGCACGAGGGAATTATTCTCAAAGGCTAGGAGAAGAAAACTCCGAAATAAAACAAACAAATGAAATGAACAAAACACAAGGATTGAATACCACAGATGGTAATCCAGTAATACTGGAAAATCCACACTCTTCCGAGACTGGTCTCATGGATTCTGTGGGAGACCACTTATTGCATAGTAGATCGGTGTTGATGGACCCATTTAGAACGAGATCGGAGGTTATGCGATCACCCCCATTGGTGATTGCAGAGAAAACAAATTATTTTATTATGGCCAATATTTTTAAATTGAATCAAATGCAAACCCTTTCAAAAGAACCGGCTTAATTCATATCTAATTCATATCAAATATGCTTAGGAAACAATAGGCTACTGGTTCGAGTCCGGTTCCAATATAAGAATTTTTCGAATCTGCCTTGAGTCATTCCCTTGATTACGTCTCTCATCTATTCTGCAGTTACATGAAGTAATTTTTCGTTTAGTTTTTCTTGTAATAATTAATAATAAAGATAAACAGCTAAATGTTGTATTGGTAATTAATAATATTAAAATATTTAAAAATATTAATATTAAATTAATATTAAAATCTGTTTTGAATAAAATCCATGAATTTATTTTTAAACTTCTAGTTTAATTATTTACAGATCATATGGCCTATTATTTATATATGTATCTCTTTTTTTATTTACATAATCTTATTCTTCATTACATAGACTTTCTCTTTCACTATCTATGAAGATTACTTTCATTATGGTTACTCTGATATTGTGAATTAATTGCAATTTTAACAACAATAAAATTGACCAGTAATATTAATAAAAAAAATTTTTATTATTAGAATGAATGTGTAAGTGTTATATGCGAAAATAGCTCATTTATAAAAAATGCTTTATGTATACATACATATAAAGTATAACTAAATAAATCTATCTGTATGTAGGTACATACACCTTTTCTTTCAAGAAGATATTTAAAAATATAAATTTTTACTTATTGACATTGAAATTGATTAAATAAGACAAGTTATTCCACTGTTTGTTTTTATTTTTCTTAGCTTATAATTTACTTGAATTTCATCTATGCAATATGATATATGATATGTAGCTATATTATTAATGTATATATATACATACTTGTTAACTGAAATAAAATTAATTCAAATTTCTAGTTTTATAAAAATTAACCTGTTTCTTGAAATTATTTGAGAAATTTTTTTATTATGAATCAAAAAGCAGAAAGTTATTTACAAGTATTACAGTTAATCATTTCAAACTGTAACATAATGAGTAACTATTATCGGAATATTTTTATTAATTTTATTGTTCCAATTTTAATATTATTGCAATTTATTAAATATTCAAATACAAAATCATGTAATCATGATAATTTATTTCGAATTGGATTAAAAACATTTTGTGAATCAATTGAAGAAAATTCTATATCTTGTTTAGGTGATATGGCACCAATTAAAAAAGCTTATATTCGTTGTACAAACGGTTATCGTAATGACAATAATATAACAGAACAAATTATTTATTGTATGGATAATGGAGAATGGAATGAACAACCAATTAAATGTACAGCTGATTGTATTCATATTGATGAAAATGAATTTAAATTAATGGAAAATCAAAAAGAATATTTAATTTCAATAGTTGATATTATTAAGAAATTATCAAATGGTGAAAAAATAAAGATAACTAGTGGTAAAATAATTTCTGAAAGAGAAATTTTAGCAGAATGTCATTATTTTGATAGTACAAATGTTGATGATTTGAGAATAAAGATGATGTCTGATGTTAAAGGAGATTATAAAGAGAAAAAAATTGCTAGTCTTTCAAGGTTTATAATTTTGTGAAAATTAATTTTTATTTTTTTAAATACCTTTAATAATTTGTTTTTAGGGTATCGGGAACTAAAGATGATATTTGTATTTTAAACCTTTATTATAATGATTACTTAAAATTTAATGAAAAATTTAAGCCGATATGTAGTGATCTTACTTTATCACGTTCAAAAGATTTAAAAAGTAAATTCTTTCAACGTATTATACCAAAAGGTAAATGTTTTATACCACGTCCATATGATTCTAGTATTGAATATCAATGTTTTGAAAGTAAAATGGATTCAAATTCAATTTTGTACGATGTGAAATGTTTAAAATATTCGGAAAAAGTTATAAAACGTTGTCAAATTGGTTATCAAAATAAAAAATATAATGAAAATGGATTAGATCGATTAGATACTTGTATATCTGGTAATTGGTTAAATGAATCTAATGAAAATGGAGATGATTGTGAATTAAAATGTAATAGTGATATAAATCCATCAAATATTGATTTAAATGATGTTATAAAAGCACCATGGCATGTAGGAATTTATTATAATGCAACGAATGGTTTGGATAAGAAAGAAATTGAACAAATATGTAGTGGTACACTTATCCACTTGAATATTGTAATTTCAGTTGGTAGCTGTTTTAATAAAACAAATAATATAAAAAATTATCGTATTGGTGTTGGTAAAAAATTTTATAATGATAAAATAGAGGAATATGAACAATATGCTGGTATTAAAGAATGGCATGTTCCTTTACAGTTAGTATATAGAAGTTATATATGAAATTTCATTATTATAAATTTTTTTTTTTTTGGTTTTGTTTAGATATGAATCAGAGCCAGATCAATATGATATATCCATTATAATTCTTGATAATTATTTACATTATACATCGTACGTTAAACCAGCTTGTATTGAATGGAAATCTTATAAAAATTATGATATTGAGAAAGGAACATTAGGAGTAGTTGCCGGTTGGAGTATTTTAAATATTACAGATTCTTCAAGTAAAAAATTTTATGAAACAAATGTGGAAATTGTTGATAATAAACAGTGCCAAAAAGCTATTGATGAATATTTTCAAATTGAAAGTTTCAATAATCAATTTTGTGGTAAAAATATTAATGGATCAGTAAATTGCTTAAGTGATAATGGTAGTGGATTAATTTCAAAAAGAAAAATTGAATTTGCTGATCATTATTTTTTAATTGGTATTCTTACAGTAGAAAACGATAAAAAAAATAATTGTTTAGAAAATTCACACACATCTTTTATAAATCTGCAATACTATCAAGATTTTATTAAATATGTAATTACAGAAAGTAGAAATTCGATGTAACATCATATTATGTAAGTTGTTGTATATGAATATATTATTGTTATATGTATATGTATGTCCCAACGTTTATACGTATATGTATGTTTGTTAATAAATTGAATACCAATAAAATATTATATTGTTGAATTCATGTAAATAATTTGATTATAATTACAAATTTTTCCATTCATATTCCAAAATATGCAAATAAAACCGTATACGCATAATTAAATTAAAATTTATTGAAATAATAATTTTTTATTGATCACTTCACTAGAATTTGTCATAATCGATTATATTAAAAAAATATTACGGTAATTTATTAAACACAATGTATTTTTTGTCGAAAACATTGAAAAAGGGTAATATAGGACTCGCCTACTTAATTTAATTTGTTGTGTCCTATGTATAACTTATATTGAGACAAAATATATTCTTGCAATATGACTTAATAGAAAAAAGATATTACAAATTTATAATTTTAAATTCGTAGCCCTAAGGCAAACGAATCAAAAGAGAAGTAATGAGAACCAAAAAGAGTTTTTGAACACATTATACTACTGAGACAATAAAGAAATGGACGAGAAAGGCCTTAAAATTTTTTAAAAAAGTTGTGAATTAGAAACGTACTAAATGCTAAAATATCGAGAAGAAAATTACAGGAAGTAAGTAATAATATAAGTAAATAAACAAATGAATGGAAAATTAAAATAAACGAAAGTAATCTGTAAATTTCAAAAACAAGTTGGCTGAACCCACCGCATAATATGTATTTTCATGCTTGGAAGGATTTTGAACGTCAAACTTAGTCAGCAAAAATATGCTAAAAAGAAAAAAAGTAGAATTCGAAAACAAATATAGAGAATTGGATCGGAGATTGTTTCTCTAAATTGACAACATACAAATACATTCAAATAAATTATATATAACCAAATAATAAAAACTGTATGAAGATAGCATTTAGTCATGGGTAATACCAAGCAAAAGCTTATCAAACAAAAACCGGCTTTCTAAAACAAGGTCTTTTGTAAGGAATTCGGTACCTTCGGTTATGTATTAAAGTCAGATTCATAGGGGTATAGTTGCCTCCAGAGTAACAATGGAAGTTCTATGCCAGTTCTATATCATCAATTACTTTAGCGATAACCAGAGGTTAGGGTTTTTATCTATAGCATTTGTGGTTCTGTGTGATAGAGAACTATGAATACAAGCTATATTTCTCGGAGAGATCTCTGCCTATCTGTTGATTTTGATAATAATTTATATCTGAGGTTATTGGTTCTGAGAGACGCTTTGATAACTAGATTTTTACTACGTCCCGTTATACTGTTCAAGGATATCAGATGACGAGCAAAAACTTGACAAGTCGAGTTTACATTTTTGCCCTTATATAGAGAAATTTAATTTCTTTGAAATTGAGATATAACTATGGTTGTCAAAATAGTGTATTAAATCGGGAATATCACTATCGGAACCGAACAAGGAACTTGAAATTATTACTTGGATAAGTTAAAATTTAATATTTGAGATCTGTTTTATCATCGCCACTAATTGAGGAATTTTTTTCAAAGAAATCTGATCACATTAAAAGTGAAACTTTACTAAGATTAAAATTTACGTTTTTACTAAAATTTGGCTAGAAGCCAAATTAACTTAAACCTTGCACATTTCCTTAAAATTTTTGAAGAAGCGTGAATATTTTTCTTAAATAATAGAAAATACAATTTTGAAAGAACATTGCGCTCGGTTATTGAATGATCATATTAGATTTGTTATAACTCTCGTGCCTTGTTTTTTTTTTGTTTTCACTTTCTGGAATTAATTTAACCATCAATTTCATAAGTAAATGCGCACCTGTCGCGCACAGCAACACAAAAGACCTCCAATTAATATATCTTAGCATATATTAGTATATTTCATTGATTATCTCATTAATTGCATGAATTGCAAAAATTTTTATTGGATTACCTAAAAGTATGCAATTTTAAATAAAATACAATTAATTTTTTATACTGACTGAGGCATTTATTTTACATATATATATCCATAATCTGTTTTTTTTTTTTTTTGTTTTTTTTTTTTTTTAATGTATAATAATATAATTTTTTTTTGTGTTTTTTTATGTTCAATTTTTTTTTTTTGTTTTTGTTTTTTTTCTAATTTTTTTTTTTTTAAGATTTAATTATTAATTTATAATTTTCATGTTCTTGTTATTATTTTTTTTTCTTGTTTCGAATTAGTTGTTTTTTTTTATGGTTTTTCTTGGATTTTTTTTTTATTTATTTTATTTTCTTTTTTTTTTTGTTTTAGTTTCTTGAATATACATAAATATATTTTATATAGTATATAATATAACACATGTACAATTTTTTAAATGGTTTTTTTTTTATGTTTTTAGAAATATTTTTTTTTTGGAATTTTTTTTTTACGTTTTTTTTTCTTTTTTGTCAAATAATTTTAATTATTTTTTTACTTTTTTTTTTTTAGTTTGTTTTTTTTTGTTCTTTTATTTATATATATATTTGTTTTTTTTTTTTTAATAGTAAATATCAATGTAATATCAGATTTTGTTTTTTTTTTATTTAATTAAGTAATTTATTTTATATTAAATATAAATTTTTTATTAAATTAAATTTAATTGATTTTTTAAATTTTTTTTTATTTATTTATTTTTTTTTTTGTTTTTCTGTTGTCTGTTATGTAGTTTTTTTCTTTTAAATAATTATATATGAATTTATATATGTATATACATGTTACATAATATATTTATTGTATAATTTACCTATATAATATATATATATATACATAAAATATATATAATTTATACATGTATGCATGTTATATGTACATATAATTATATATATAGAAGTGTAAATTTTTTTTTTTCAATAATTATGTATATATATGTATATATTTAAATACAAATATACAATAAAGTAAATGGCATATAATATAAATAATATTATGAAATATATTTGAGTATTTTTATATATATATATACATTATATAATAAATTATAATTGTTATATATGTATATTAAAAAAGATCATTATTATTATTATGTATTTCATATTTATTATTTTATAAGAATAATTGCGTTGCGTGTATATATTCTCATTCATTTTTTTGTTTTCTTCCAAAATTTTGTTATTTACTCTTTCTCATTTATTTTCTCTTCTTTTTTTTCTTCTCTCTCTATATTTTTATTGTAATTATAGTGTTTTTGTATTTCTCATTTTAATATTTTTCTATTTTAGGATTTTTTTTATTGTTTTTTTTGTTTTTTTATCTTCTGTATTATTCTTTTCTGATTATTTTTTTTTTGTTTGTTTTATTATTATAATAGTAGTGGTAGTATAGTAACAATTTAGTATAGTTTTTTTTTTATTATAGTATATTTATAGTGTTAGGGTATATATATTTCATTTTATATTGGTATTATTTTATTATGATATAATTAATGAATAAATTAATTAATTATTATAATTAATTTGAATTGGTTTTTTTTTTCTTAATAATTAATAATATATAATTAATTTATTTATTAATTATATTTGTATATTAATATATTTTTGATATAGTATTTATTTGAAATGGTTTTATATTAATTTAGAGCTTGTGTATATATATATATATATATATATATATATTTATATTTTTTTTTTCTTATTTACTTTTATTATATACAAATAGATTATTTTGTTTTTATAGTATAATACAAATATTATATGATATATATATATATATATATATTAATATATATATATTATATGTATATTTTTAAATATTTTATATTCATTGTTTAAATAGTTAGGTCTCATTCTCAGTTTTTATAATATTTTTATTATTATATTATTGCATTTTCAATTATCATTTCTCATTTTTTTTTTTGATTTTTATATATTTTTAATTTTAATTTCATTTCTCATCTGTCATATAAATTGTGTCTAGAATTTATATGAATTTCCGTTTTTTGAATTTATTCTTTTTTGTGAACTCTCTCTTTTTTGTATATATTAGTATTTCAATCTATTTAGTGTGTGTGTAGTTGACTTTTATATTATAATAATATTATGTTTGTTTGTTTTTTATTATTATTCATTTTTTTTTAATATAATTATACTTAATTATAGTTTTATTGACATTTTAAAAATTAAAAATAAATTTTTTATGTTACTAATGTTTTGTTTTTGTTTCTTTTTTTTTTTCTTGGTTTTTTTAATAATTGAAATAATCATAATATAATGATTTATTTATTAATAATAAAAATTGATTTTTAAATTTTGTAAATTTATTGTTTATACAAATGATAAAATGTTTATTAATTAATTTTACAAATGTAGTTTTTGGGATTTTTTTTCTTCTTTTTTTTTTTTTATATAATTATTAAATTTTAAGAAAATTATTTTACATATATATATAAATTTTTTGTTTTTTTCTTTTTTATTTTTTTTTTAATTAATTTTTTTTTTCTTTCATTAATATTGTTTGTTTGTTATTTAAATAAAAAATAATGTTTTTCAATATTAATTTTTGCAAAAATGAAAATGTGTTTGATTTTTTGTGTATGTGTGTGTGATTTTTGGTTTGAAATTGTTTTTTTTTTTTTTTGAAAGTATTTTAAAGAGTAGAGAGGATTAGGGGCTATAAAAAGAGCAGAAACAAAAAGAAAATAAAAAAAATTTATTTCTTGGATTTATTTTGATTTTAAATAATTTATGTGGTGTTAATTGTTTTTCGGGTTAGCTCTTTCTTAGAAAGTACATTATACATGAAAATTGCTTTAGTATCAATTAGTTTTAAAAGAGGATTATTTTTTCTTGTCTTTTTTTGCCTTTTTTTTTCTTTAAATTTTGAAAAATATTTTAATAATTTTTTTTTTTTTTTGTTTTTAATTTATTAAATTTTTTTTTTTTTAATTTTTGTTTTTGGTTTTTTTTATGAATACAACAATGAACATAATTAATTTTATATAAAAGTATATATGTATGTGTGTATATATAGAGAATAAAGAATTATTAATATAATACATAAATATATTTTAAAAATTTATATAATGAATTTTG